GGGGACCATTTGCATTCAAACCACCACATGCACACACACAGACACACATACCTGGATATATAAATATAACTGCTCACTCTTCCAGTGTTATTTGTATGTATATGATTTCAGGACTAGCCAACCACTTAGTCATGTATAAACCAATTAAGTGTCTCTTCCCTGGGGAGAAGTATTTCACCTGATCTTAGCATTCTTTAGTTGCCTGTACTTCTTTGTTTAGGGTTAGGACCCCATTAGATTTCCCTCTTCCATGTTAGCTTGTCTAATGTTGTTTTACTTCTTCTGATCTTATTTAGGAAGTATATTGTTGAGGTATCTTGGATGAAGTTTCCTGTCATTTTAAGGAGGCACAATCTCACAGTAGATTTCTTGATTCTCTGGTTCTTACAGGATTTTTTGCCTCCTCTTCTCTCTTCTGCTATGTTGCCTATGCCTTAAATACAGAAGTTATATTGTAGATGTTTCAACTGAGACTGGGCACACCCTATAATCACTTTTCTCTGCATTTTGGCTGGTTGTACTTTTCTGTAATAGTTTCCATCTGTTGCAAAGAGAAGTTTTCTTTGATTTTGTTTTTGTTCTTGTTTTTTTTAGAAGATGAGAGCTACACTTATCTGTGGATATAAGAATAAATATTTAGAATATGCTTAGGAATTACATTGGTTTTGTAAAGTGGTGATAGTAGGCTCTCCTCTAAGATCTACTACCTCAATAACCTTGGGTAGTTGATGAGGTTTCCAGTGACAAGCATAATTTTTTTCTTATTGAAAAGGCTTTAAGTACAATTAGAAGTGTTGTTCCTTATGGCCTTTAATTTTTTATATCATTTCTCCCTACTCTTTCCTCGCTCTAACCCCCACCCATATACTCCCTCATGCCTTCTTTCAAATTCATGGCCTCTTTTTTCATTAGTTGTTGTAGCATGCATATGTATATATTCATGTATGTTCCTAAATACAAGTTTCTCAGTCTGTGTAATGTTACTTATATGTATGTTTTCAGGGCTGACCATTTGGTATTAGATAATCAATGAATGTTTCAGACATCCTTGTTATTTTACCCTCTCTTTCTGTATTGATCCCCTCCCCCACTCCACAATTAAACCTCCCTTCCATTTTACCCCATTTCACCCTTGAAATCACTTGTACCTTGCTATTCCCCTAGATACATATCTACTATCTTGCTGAAAATAACAAGAAAAAACAAATTCTAAATGGATCAAAAACCTTAATGTAAAACCTGAATCCTCTAGAAGAAAACATAGGCAGTACTCTACAAGATATAGGTCCTATTCAGAAAGGAATAGGACTCCATTTGCCCAGGAATTAAGGTCAACAATTGACAAGTGGGAACTCATAAAACTAAAAAGCTTCTGCGCAGCTAGAGAAACATAAAGTGAAAAAAAGAAATGCAAATTTTACCAGCTATACATATAACAGATGATTAATATCTATAATATGTAAATAATTCAGAAAACAGTCAATAAAACAAAGAACCCAAGTTTTAAAGGGGGTGGGACAATGGATCTGAATAGAGAGTTTTCCAAAAGAAGAAATAAAAGTGGCTAAGAAATATCTCAAAAACTGTTTGTACTCTGTCTTAGGGCTTCTAATGTTCTTATAAAACACCATGACCAAAAGTATCTTGAGAATGAAAGAGTTTATTTCATCATACAACTTATAGTTCACTATCAAGGGAAATTAGAGCAGGAACTCAATACAAAAACCTGGAAGCAGGAACTGATGAGGAGGTCATAGATGAATGCTACTTACTGGCTTGTTCCTCCTGGCTTTCTCAGTTTATTTTCCTATACACTCTAGGACCATTTACCCTGGAGCAGAACCATCCACAGTGGTCTGGACCCTCCCACATCAGTCCTTAATCAATAAAATGCCCCACAGGTTTGCATACAGACTAATCTTATGGAAGATTTTTTTCAATTCAGATTTGCTCTTCTCAAACCACTGTAGGTTGTATCAAGTTGGCATAAAACTAACCAGAAGAAATGTGAATTTAAAAAAAAAAACTTTGAGATTTTATCTTACTCCAATTTGAATAGCCAAGGTCAACAAAACAAAACAAAATTAAAAAAAGCACAACAAATGCTGGGGGAAAGGGACACTCATTCACTCTTAGTGAAATTACAAACTGATCCAACCCTTCTGGAATCAGTGTGGAGAATCCTATAAAAGATAAATGTAAATCTATCATAGGATCCAGCTATACTCCTTCTTGGTATATGTCCAAAGGACTCAACATCCTATTCCACAAATAATTACTCAGTCATGTTCATTGTTGCTCTATTCACAATAGTTAGAAAGTAGAGACAGCATAAATGTCTTTCAACCAAAGAATAGGTAATGAAAATGTGGTACATGTGCACAGTAGAATACTATTCAACTGTAAAGAAAAATGAATTCATGAAATTTGTAGGTAAATGGATAGTATTAAGAAATATTATGTTGAGTGGGGTGGCAAAGACCCAGAAAGATAGACACCATATGTTTTCTCATATCTGTGGCTCTTATCTTCAAATCTTCAGCTATGACTATATAATGTCTGGAGTAACCACAGAAACTTAAGAAGTAGAGAGGGGGACATGGAGTGATGGACACTAAAGAGAGTAATAGCAGGGTATAAATACTATTAACTTTATTTCTCCTCATGAATTTCAAAATTCTACTTGAATATTTCAAACAATTAATAGTCACCTTCCAGAACTTTTTTCTGTTAACATATTTAAATATACATGTTTTAATTATTTTGACAACTTCTTCAAACCTTCATTATCATCTTATCACGTGTCTATCTGTATTCCAAAGAGCACTATTATCTTTAAGGTTTCCCAAGTTAGAAACTTAGAGTTGATCTCAATTCTTCCCTATACTTCAAACTGTACATGGTTTTCTAAGTTATTTTTATCACCTTTATTCCAGCCAGACTTTAGTACTATTGGCACAATCAATGTTTTAAATTATTTTTATCTATGAAGCAAAATAACAAAATTGAGATTTCATTAAGGAAAGGTGGGGTTTGGTTGGTGGTTGTTTTGTTTTGTTTTGTTTTGTTTAGACAGGGTCCTATGTATCCCAGATTGGCCTCAAATTTACCATGTAGCTGACAAGAATGCCCTTCTTAAATTCTGGGATTACAGGCATATGTCACCACACATCAATCTTACTGATGCTGGGGATTAATCCCTGGGCTTTGTGTACAATAGGTAGGTATTCTGCCAACTGAGCTACACCTTAAAAGAAAATCTTTTTTTTAGTTTTACTTCTTTGTGTGATGGGGGTATTTGGGTTTGTGTGCCAATGCACACATGGGTAGGTGAAAAGATAACCTATGTGAGTCACTTATCTCCTTGTACTATAATTAGGGTTGCTATTGCTGTGAAGAGACTCCATGACCACAGCAACTGTTATAAAGAAAACCTTTAATTGGGGTGGCTTGCTTACGGTTTCAGAGGTTCAGTCCATTATCATCATGGTGACAAGCATGGAGGCATGCAGGCAGACATGGTGCTGGAGCTCAGAATGCTACACCTTGACCAGAAGGGAACAGGAAGTCAACTGAAAATCACACTGAGGGAAGTTTGAGCAAAAGACAACTCAAAGCCCACACCCATAGTGACACACTTTCTCCAACAAGGCCACACTTCCTAATAGTACCACTCCCTTTGGGGGCTATTTTCTTTCAAACCACCACACAGTGCATGGTTTCTAGGGATCAAACTCAAGTCATCAGGCTGAGAGGCAAGTACATTTACCTGATGAGCAATCTCGCCAGCCACACTGAACTTTTAAAAAATGCCAATATTTAACAATTTAAGAGAATTCTGTGGTTGTCTATGCTATGACAACAGGTACTTCATACTGTTTTCCTTGAATATGGCTTGTTGATTTACAACACCATATTTACCTCTTCCTAGGGTCCTTTCTCTATGATTCAATATCATTTCAGTTCTGTTGATGGAGGTTGTTTATTCATTCCCAGATGTCCAGACCCAAAGTAATCACACAGAAACTATATTATTTGTAATACTATCTGGCCAATAGCTTAAGCGTATTTCTAAATAGCTCTTATATTCTAAATTCACCCATCTCCATTAATCTGTGCATCACCACAAAGTCTTGCCTTACCACCACAGTTCTTGCAGGCTCCAGCAGGGAGGTCTGTCTCCTACATTGGCTACATGACTTCTCCCTGACTCGACCTTTTTTTCTCCTCTATCTGCTTGGAATTCGTTCTTTGCCCTATTCTGCTAAGCCACTGGCAAAAACATCTTTATTCCTTCAATAAAAGCAACACATACACAGAAGGTCTTCCCACACAACAGTTCAATTCCTGTTCATTATTTAAGACTAGGCAAAGCTATTCCATTCATCACTCAAAAACATTTCTTTATACAACACCTTACTAAAGTAAATATATTTCTTTCTTATAGAGATTGTTACATCTTGTGTAAAACTTTATTTTTTATTCAAATGTTATTTGTAGTAGTTTCATCTCTTCTTACTAGATTATAAGATTCTTCAAAACAGAGACCATATTTTGTTTAAGTCTATATTCCCATGTTTTCCCTGGCATATATATATGTGTGTATATATATAACATATTATACATCTTTGAAATAAATGTGTAGTAATGGTTAATTCTCTAGACTTTGAGTCAGTGGTCTGAGTTCGTATCTCAGTGGAAACTTTTTCTTGAGGAAGAGACCTGGTCAGTCATCCTCATCAACTCAGACCATGAAACCCAATGTAAATGGGCTGCCCACACATGCTTCAGCATTGCCAGGGGCATGTTTCACTTTCAATATTATTTAAGAGTAAAAAGAGTACAACTTTCTATGAGGGAGAAACAATTAGGAAATAGATTTTTTTTCTTCATTAAAATTACCAAATTAGGTTTAGTTATCATTTTAGATATAATATGCTATAATTTTAATATGTTTTCTTTTATCCACTGAACAAAAGAATTTGCTTTGCTTTCTTTAGCATTCAAGTTTTTCATTGTCTTAAGCATGAAGGAACAGGTGGGAGGACACTGTTAGTAGATGGATTCTATGCAGCACAACAAGTACTTCAAAAAGCACCTGAGGAATTTGAACTCCTCAGCAAAGTGCCATTGAAGCATGAATATATTGAAAATGTTGGAGAATGTCACAACCACATGATTGGAATCGGGCCAGTCTTAAATATCTACCCATGGAATAAAGAGCTCTATTTGATCAGGTGAGTATCAAACAACTGTTCTCCCATGTGATATATTTATTATATATTAAGTTCTTAACTAATGTATCCACCTATCTCTTGGAATTATCATTTGACTCTTTTGTAGAACATACAGTGCTCAAAATCATATTCAAAATCTAGTTCAGAGGCTCCACTCACCATAAGCCCACCTCTCTACGTATTCACTCATGTTTCATTGGATGTTATATCCACGAAATTGCCCAAAGAAAAAACTAAAAACCACCCTCAGCAAGTCCATCTCCCTCACACTATGCAACCAATCTAACCAGGTTACCTAAAAATTTTTCCACAAAGTACCCAGTACTTCCTATCTACTTTTTGTGTGAGACCACAGTCACCTTTACACAGTGCCATTGATTTCACCCTTACCCACCTTCTATCTGTTTTATGTGCTGTAGCTAGAGAAATTTTTTAAAATTTTATTTATTATTGTGTGTGTATATTTATGTGTGAGAACTTGCAAGGGTATATATACCATTGCACATGTGGGAAAGTCACAGGAACACTTTTCAGGACTTGGTTAACTCAGAATTGGATCAATAAATCAAACTCAGACCTTATGTGTGTAAATATATTATATAATGTATAAATATAATGCATCTAAAATATATTGTATAATATGTATATGTTTGTATATTTGTACAGCAAGTGTCTTTACCTGATGAGCCATCTCACAGGCCCTAAAGTAATTTTTGGAAATACAAATCTGACTTACTTTATCATTCTCTTGTGAAAAGTCCTACATCCACTTAGTATCTTTCAAAGAACCCAAGTTATTCTCATAGCTTACACAATTTTTGCATGTTCTGTCCCCTTCTTACTGTTGTAGCTTCAACTTATACAACTCAAGTTTCTACACAAATTCATCCCAAGATATGTTATGCTTCTTTAGATTTTAAGTTGTTTTCCATGTTGCAGCCAAAAAAATTTTATGTTATTTCATTCATTTAAGCAAACATCTAGAGGGCATTGTTCTTCCACAAACATTTCTTGAGTATCTACAAAGACACAGGCCCTATTTTTGACACCAGAGTTATAACTCTGAGAAAATTCATGACTGTCATATAATTCCCATTCTAATAGAATAACCTGTTTTATTTTTAAAAAGCAAATATGTATTATACCAAATGGTAATAAAAATAAGGAAGGAGATATGAAATACAGAGGCAGCTTGATAAGAACTGCAAAAGGTAACGATGTAGTACAGGAAAGGTAAAATCCTATCATTCAATGCTTTGCACCTTTGACCAAATCACTTAACCTGTTTGTCATGAGTTTTTGGCTTTCAATAACAATACCAGCCATACACATTGTTAAAAATAAGTTGCCATCTCTATTCTTTACCTGGAAGGCAGAAGGAATTATGTCAATAGTAACTCACTTTTTTTGGATAAGTTCTTCCCAGAAATAATCTCCTCAGTCATCTCTTGTATACCTACTACATAAAATAAGAAGTATGTCCAACATTTTGTTATGAACACCTTAACAAATTGAAAAACTAAAATCATTTAGAGTGGGAAAACCTTAGCCTGCAACCTACATCCTCCATTAAGATAGTACTATTCTTGTTTTGTCACGGAACCTTCTATTTCTCCATCCATCTATTGTGGTTCATTTTGATGTCAACTTGACACAAGTTAGAAGTCATCTTGGAGGAGGGAACCGCAGTTGAGAAAATACCTCCATAAGATCCTGCTGTAGGGCATTTTCTTAACTAATGATTGATGTGGGAGGATCCAGCCCATTGTGGGTGTTGTCACCCCTGGGCTGGTGGTCCTGGGATTTATAAGAAAGCAGGCTGAGCAAGCCATGAGGAGCAAGCCAGTAACAAGCACTCTTCTAAGCTTTTGCCCCCAGGTTCCTACCCTGTTTGAATTTCTGCCCTGACTTCCTCTGTTGATGAGCTATAATGTGGAAGTGTAAACTAAATAAAACCTTTCCTCCCCAAGTTGTTTTGGTCATGGTGTTTCACCATAGCAAAAGAAACCCTAACTAAAACACCATCTATCCACCCACCAGTTGATCATGTTTTTTGAACCATTTTAAAATATATTACAAATATGAATATATCTCCCACTAAAATACTTCAATATTTATATAAAATAGAGTTCAATATGGTTCTATACCTGTCCATTTTCAAGTGAAATATACATATAGTGATGTTTTAAAATGTTAAATATAAACTTATGGAGGTTTGAGAAATGAACATGAATATACTTCTGTGTCATGAATCTATATCAATATATATAAAATATTATCTTTAATAGAGGAAGTACCTTTCTGTTGTCCAGTCAAACCCTGCATATATACCCCCAAAGGAAGCCACTGTTTGATTGGTTGGTTTAAATAATAAGATATGAATAATATATAAAAATTATATCTACATTGTTTCTAGTTTGATTTCATTATGATTGAAATTGCTATAAAATTGTCCATAAATACTCTTGTGAATATATATTTTTATTTCAATTAAATGAATATATAGGGATGTGTAATAGTTACTTTTCTCATTGCTCTGACAAAATACCTAAAAAGGCAATTCAGGGAAGGAAGGGTTTGTTCTGACTCATAGTTGGAGAGTGAGTTAAAGATTAAAAGCCATAGTCAGGGAACAGAGAGAAATGAATGCTGGTATTCAGTGCACTTTTCTTTTGTATTTAATCCAGGGCTCTGGCCCATGAATTGGTGCCACTCACATTCAAGGTGGGGACTCCATACCCAGTTAAACCTCTCAGGAAACACCCTCAGAGATTTTCCCAGAGGTTTATCTCTTAGGTGGTTCTAGAGTCTATCAATCGGTGTTAAGCATCACAGGATAGTACAGATATGTCAGAGTCCAAGAATGTTTAGTTTTAGTAAACAATGTTTTGCCGAATTAGTTGTACCATTTTACCTCTTCATATAGAAAGGATGAAAGTTGCATCTACTCCAATTCCTTACCAGTACTTGGTGCTGTCAGTTGTATTAATTTTAACTACTGTTATAGATACTTTTTTAGGATAGCCTTATGAGTAAGTGTTAACAGGAATTAGATAATTCTATCTGCACAGTACTATCAACAAATAAAATGTTAAAGAGATCCAATTACCTAAAATAGTAAGCTGTGACAGATTTATTCTTTCCAAGTTTCAGTTGTCTTATGTGTAAAAGGTGGCTAATAACAGTTTTCCTACTGGAAAGAGAAATAAGTCAATAAAATAGTATTTATACAGCACCAACTATATAGGACTGAAAGCTCTAGAAATAATATTAAGTGCCAACACCCTGTTGAAGACTTTCCTCACTGTTGTCTGAGGTTTCTGTCCTGCCTGGTTCCCACAGTCGTTAAGTCCCAAAGTCACAAGTGGTCTATATTAGTTATAAACTGATTGACCTAGTAGCTCAGACTTCTTATTAACTCTTATAACTTATATTAGCCCATTATTCTTGCCTATGTTAGCCACGTGGCTCGGTACTTTATTTGGTGAGGCAGTCACATCTTGCTTCTTCTGTGGCTGGGTCAGAACTGCCAATTAGGAATTCCTCGTTCCCAGAATTCTCCTGTTCTCATTGACCCACCTCTACTTTCTGTCTGGTTGTCCTGCCTATACTTCCTGCCTGGCTACTGGCCAATCAGCATTTTATTAAAATATAATTGACAGACTACAGACCATTGTCCCACACCACCCCACTGTCTTCCTCATAAGGGCATGGCTCCTAAAAGCCTGGGAGGAAGCACTGTTCATTATGGTCTGTCATTTGGTACCCTGATAGTAGTTCTGTGAGATCTGCTAAACAGATGCTTATTTAACACATGAGGAAAAAAGAATATTGGTTCTATTTATGCTGTGTACTAAAACTAAGAAATGCCACGTGATATCCAGAAGAGAACCATTATTTCTCTTTGAAAGAAAGACTTTTTAGGAGTGTCTGATAAAATCTGGCAATATAATACACATTGTAGTAAAATATAGGGTTTTTTTAACTCTATGGGGGCCCTTCATCCTGCTCCCAAATAGATACATGGAGACTTATTGTTGTTTATGAATGCCTAGCCTTAGCTTATCTTAGTTCTAGCCAGCGTTTCTTAAATTATCCCATCTACCTTTTGCCTTTGGGCTTTTATCTTCAATATTCTATTCTATATGTCTTTCTTTCCTTCTTATTCCATGGCTGGTTGTGTGGCTGGGTGGCAGGCCCCTGGCATTCTCCTGTCCTACTTTTCTCACTTTTTGATCTCTTTTGTTCATCTTTCTCCCCCTATTCTCTCTGCCTGGTAGCCCTGCCTATCCCTCTCCTGCTTAGCTATTGACTGTTCAGCTCTTTATTAGACCAATCAAGTGTTTTAGGCAGGCAAAGTAATACAGCTTCACCGAGTTAAATAAATGCAGCACAAAAGAGTGAAACACATCTTTGCATTGTTAAATAAATACTCCATAGCATAAACAAGTGTAATACATCTTAAACTAATGTTCCACAACATTTCCCTCTTTTGTCTAAATAAAAAATGAAGTTTTAACTTTAACACAGTAAAACTTTATACAACAAAAACAGTTATCAAGTAAGAATTACATTTACAATATTTAGTCCATTTTATACTTAGCAAATTTAGAGAAAGTACTCCATTATCTATTTTATCTTATTGATTCCAAAGTTGTATAGCTAAGTTCTGCCCTATCAGCAGGCCAAGGCAGTTTCTTTATTCACTAGCCAATAAAAGCAACACATAGACAGAAGGACCTTCCACACCATCACATGGCCTGCCTGGTGGTTTGTAAACATAATAAAATGCCATTGTAACTCAAACTTTGTATTTGCTATTCTCTCTGCCTAGTCTGCACTTACTTCAGCTTGTCATATACTGGATTTCTATTCATACAGGCACCAGCTCAAGTGTCATTTCTCCAAAAATTCCTTCAGCACCCAAAAACAGATTTTCCAGTTACCCTTAAATACATGTCACTGTGTTTTCACACAGCATCTGTAGCTAACTGAAGCTATCTTATTTATATTTGTTGTGTTTATAAACTTGCATCTTCAATAGAATATAAACTTCCTAATAGCTGGGATCATGTCTCCCATGTTCATCATTGCATAGGTATTTTTTAATAAACTCCTTGGCAATGGCAAGTGCTTATGTAAGTGCCCATGTTGAATAAATGACAGTCCCCATTAAGATCTCTGAGTAAAACTGTTTATTGTGTTTTAGCTATTATTTTTCCCACAAAAGGAAATACTTGTGGAATTATCTCATTCTGTCATTCTGTTTTGTTAAATAGCCTTGTTTATACAGCTTATTTTGTCCTCCTTAGTTTAATGAAAAAAGTTCAAATCTCTTTTTGATTTCATGCCCGTTAACAAATAAGTACCTTCTCCATGGAACACATTTCAGATAAAAAAAAACATATTCTGAGTTGGGAAAAATCAACTGGAACTTAACTTTGACTCCCTGCCACCAGAATCGCCAAAGAAAAAGAAAATATGACCAGCAGATAGTAAAATTCCTATCTCTGGTGCTGTATTCCTAAGTATGTGTTGATTCATTGTTGTTTCAAGTGTGGAACAGAGACAGTATTATCTAAAACAGTTAAGTAACCATAAATGTCTTTATCATGTGTCTGAGATCTTTATTTCTCATGATTCCATATAAGGTACAACAACTATGACCGGGCTGTCATCAACACTGTTCCTTATGATGTTGTCCATCGTTGGTATACAGCACACCGAACTCTAACAACTGAATTGAGAAGGCCTGAGAATGAGCTTTGGGTCAAACTGAAGCCTGGAAAGGTAGGCCCTAAATTCTATAAAGATATCAAATAAACTTGCCATATAAAATCAATGAAGAATGATACTTGTTTAATATGTATCACCATATTACAAAGGAAAAAAAAATTTCTTATGTCCTAGGTACTGTTCTTGGCCATGCCATTTATTCACTGATGATCTGTAAACAGGCACCATGTCATCTCTAAACATCAGACACTTGTTGTAATTATGAAGGGATTTAACTAAGATCCTTCCAGCTTAATAATTCCATTTTTAAGCATTGATATTTCCTCTAAAGTATAGCTTCAGCTTTACATAAAACATAATTGAGAAATAATAAACTGAGAATTATGTAAAAACACAATTTCCTGATTTACTTTGAAGAAATGATAGCTGCACAAAGAATATAAGCTCTCAGGTGCACAGAACTTATAAACTATTTTCTTTTTAATTGCTATTTAGCCTGCTATGGGGTTAGAAACATCTTATTTTCTTTTTAATTTGCTTAACTTCAAAAGAAAAATATTTCATCAAATGTAACTAATAGAACAATCTAAAGCTTTATCTTTCAGTGAGCTCTTCTGGTTTAAGTTCCCTTTGATTTTCCCTAGTTCTGATTGTTTTCTCTCTTTTTTATATTTATACATTTACAGGTACTGTTTATAGACAATTGGCGAATCCTTCATGGCAGGGAATCATTCACTGGTTACCGCCAACTCTGTGGCTGCTATTTAACAAGAGATGATGTGCTAAATACTGCTCGTCTCATGGGCCTTCATGCTTAAAATTGAAAGCACTGGGATTATGAGTACACTTGGCATCCTGGTACCAGAATTTTGTATCAACACAACAATATTGTGTCAAAATTTGTTTCACTTTGTCTCCTTTCTATTCTATGAAACAGAAGATTTTCCTTACTTTACCAGGAAAAACCTGTTAAAGAGGGGCTTTTAAATTACCTAATGGCAGCCATCTACTAAGGTAACTGTCTTCTCAAGTTATATGATCCTACTCTTTTCCAAACTTTTTGATGTACCTAATCACTGTAGTTAAGAAATGTAATCTCTATATTAAAAGGAAACTAATATTATATAATTTGTCTTCTGCTAAATCAGAATGCCATACATTCTAGAAATGAGAAAATTTTGATAAAGCAACATTTTTTTTAATTTTTTTTTATTTTTTTTAAGTTTATTAAAATATAAAAGTTTCCATTTTCGCCCCTCCTCCCAACACCCTCCCACTCCCCCCACTCCCTCTCCTCTTCCCTCTCCATCCCTAAGAGCAGTCAGGGTTTCCTGCCCTGTGGGTAGTTCAAGTTCCTCCCCGCTCCCTCCAGGACCAGGAAGGTGAGTATCCAATCAGACTGGATCCCCAAAAATCCAGAATATGCAGAGGAAACAAGTCCCAGAGTCATTGTCAATGGCGTTTTAGAAAGACTTCGGGCAAGCCACATTCAGAGAATCCAGCCTCCTCCAGAGAATCTGGTTGGATCAAGCGTTCCTTCAGTCCCAGTCAACTGGCCTTGGTGAACTCTCATTAGATCAGTCGCCTTGTATCAGTGGGTGATCGCTCCCCTTGCGGTTCTGATTTCCTTTTTCATGTTCTTCCTCCTTCTGCTCCTCCTTTGGACCTTGGGGGGCTCAGTCCAGTGCTCCAATGTGGGTCTCCATCTGTATCGCCATCCATCGCCGGATGAAGGTTCCCTCTGATCTTGCCCTGCCTGCTCACGTTCTTCTTCCTTCTGCTTCTCGGTTGGACCTAGGGAGTTAAGTCCAGTGTTCCAACGTGGGTCCCCGTCTCTATCTCCATCTATTGCTAGATGAAGGATCTATGGTGATAAGCAAAATATTCATCAGTATGGTTATGGGCCAAGGCCAGTTCAGGCACCCTCTCCTCTGTCCAGAGAACAATCTGGGGACCTCTCCTTGGACCTGGGATCCCATTTACAGTCAAGTCTCTAGTAAACCCTAAACTGATTTCCATAGTTGAGATATATTCTTCCCTGAACCCATATCTATCCTTCCTCCCTTCCCCCTCCCAGTCCCCCGAGCATTCCCCATTCCTCCCCTGTTCCCTTCTCTCTAACCTCCTCCCCTTCCAACTACCCTCCCAACCCCCCATGCACCCTTGGTTACCTGGAACTCTTGTCTATTTCCAATCTCCAGGAAGAAAACTACCTGAATTTTCTTCAGGTTCACCTTCTTATTTAGCTTCTCTAGGATCTCGAATAATAGGCTCAAAGACCTTTAATTATGGCTAGAATCCACTTATGAGTGAATACATACCTTATTCCTCTTTTTGAGTCTGGCTTACCTGACTCAGTAAAGCGTTTTCTTTTTCTTTTTTTTTTATTTTTCTTTTTATTTATTTATTTATTTATTTATTTATTTTTATTTAATTTTTACTGGGAACCCCTCAAGAATCAAGTCTCTTGCAAACCCTAGAATGGCTCTATTAGTTGCAATGTAAACTTCCCTGCTCCCATAACCATCCTTCCTCCCTCCCCCCTCCAATTCCCCCAAGCCATCCCCAATTCTCGCCCTCTCCCCTCTCCCTAACCATCTTCCCTTACTTCCACCCACCCACCCCCCATGCACCCGACTTTGCTTGGCAATCTTGCCTAGTTCTATTATCCAGGAGGGTAACTATACAAATTTTCTTCAGGTTCACCTTCTTATCTAGCTTCTCTAGGATCACAAATTATAGACCCAAAGACCTTTAACTATGGCTAGAATCCACTTATGAGTGAGTACATACCATATTCCTCTTTTTGGGTCTGGGTTACCTCACTCAGTAAAGTGTTTTCTATGTCCATCCATTTGCATGCAAAATTCAAGATGTCATTGTTCTTTACCGCTGAGTAAAACTCTAATGTATATATGTTCCACACCTTTTTTAACCATTCTTCTATTGAGGGGCACCTAGGCTGTTTCCAGGTTCTGGATATCACAAATAGTGCAGCTATGAACATAGTTGAACAAATACTTTTGTAGTATGATAGGGCATCTCTTGGGTATATTCCCAAGATTGGAATTGCTGGGTCCTGAGGGAGGTTGACTCCCAGTTTCCTGAGAAACCGCCACACTGATTTCCACAGTGGCTGCACAAGTTTGCATTCCCACCAACAATGGATGAGTGTTCCCCTCATTCCACATCCTCTCCAGCATAGGCTATCATTGGTGTTTTTGACTTTAGCTATTCTGACAGGTGTAAGATGGTATCTCAAAGTGGTTTTGATTTGCATTTCCCTGATCGCTAAGGAGGTTGAGCACGACCTTAACTGTCTTCTGGCCATTCGAAGTTCATCTGTTGTGAATTCTCTGTTCAGTTCAGTACCCCATTTTTTAATTGGGTTAATTAGAGTTTTAGTGTCTAGTTTCTAGAGTTCTTTGTATATTCTGGAGATCAGACCTTTGTCTGATGAGGGGTTGGTGAAGATTTTCTCACAGTCAGAAGGCAGCCTTTTTGTCTTACTGACAGTGTCCTTTGCTTTACAGAAGCTTCTCAGTTTCAGCAGGTCCCATTTATTCATTGTTTCTCTTATTGTCTGTGCTACTGGGGTCCTACTTAGGAAGTAGCCTCCTGTGCCTATATCTTGTAGACTACATCCCACTTTCTCTTCTATCAGGTTCAAAGTGGACAGATTGATGTTGATGTCTTTAATCCATTTGGACTTGAGTTTTGTGCATGGTGATAGATATGGATCTATTTTCATTCTTCTACAGGTTGACATCCAGTTATGCCAGCACCATTTGTTAAAGATGCTTTCCTTCTTCCATTGTATACTTTTAGCTCCCTTGTCGAAAATTAGGTGTTCATAGGCTTGAGGGTTAGTATCCGGGTCTTCTATTCGATTCCATAGGTTGACTTCTCTATTCTTATGTCAATACCAAGCTGTTTTCAATACTGTAGCTCTGTAATAGAGTTTGAAGTCAGGGATAGTAATGCCTCCAAAAGTTCCTTTATTGTATAAGATTGTTTTGGCTATCCTGGGTTTTTTGTTTTGCCATATAAAGTAGATTATTGTTCTCTCAAGGTCTGTGAAGAAGTTTGATGGGATTTTGATGGGGATTGCATTGAATCTATAGATTGCTTTTGGTAGAATTGCCATTTTTACTATGTTGATTCTCCCAATCCAAGAGCAGGGGAGGTCTTTCCATTTTCTGGTATCCTCCTCAATTTCTTTTTTCAAAGGCTTAAAGTTCTTGTCAAATAGGTCTTTCACTTCCTTGGTTAGAGTAACCCCAAGATATTTTTTGCTATTTGTGGCTATCGTGAAAGGTGATGTTTCTCTGATTTCCCTCTCTGCTTCTTTATCCTTTGTGTATAGGAGGGCCACTGATTTTTTGGAGTTGATCTTGTATCCTGCCACGTTACTAAACGTGTTTATCAGCTGTAGGAGTTCTTTGGTAGAGTTTTTGGGGTCTCTTATGTACACTATCATATCGTCAGCAAATAACGAAAGTTTAACTTCATCCTTTCCAATTCGAATCCCCTTGATCTCCTTATGTTGTCTTATTGCTATTGCTAGAACTTCAAGCACTATATTGAAGAGGTATGGAGAGAGTGGACAGCCTTGTTGTGTTCCTGATTTTAGTGGAATGGCTTTGAGTTTCTCTCCATTCAATTTGATGCTAGCTGTCAGCTTGCTGTATATTGCTTTTATTATATTTAGGTATGATCCTTGTATCCCCAGTCTGTCCAACACCTTTATCATAAATGGGTGTTGAATTTTGTCAAATGCTTTTTCAGCATCCAATGAAATGATCATATGGTTTTTTTCTTTCAGTTTATTTATATGATGGATTACATTGATAGATTTGCGTATGTTGAACCATCCCTGCATCTCTGGGATGAAGCCTACTTGATCATAATGAATAATTTTTCTAATGTGTTCTTGGATTCGGTTTTCCAATATTTTATTGAGAATTTTCGCATCGATGTTCATGAGTGAGATTGGCCTGTAATTCGCTTTCTTGGTTGTGTCTTTGTGTGGTTTTGGTATTAGGGTGACTGTAGCTTCATAAAAGGAGTTTGGCAATGACTCTTCTGTTTCTATATTGTGGAATACATTAAGGAGTATAGGTATTAGCTCTTCCTGGAAGTTCTGGTAGAATTCTGCATTGAAACCAGATATCTGGTCCTGGGCTTTTTTTGGTAGGGAGATTTTTGATAACAGCTTCTAATTCTTCACGACTAACCAGTCTATTTAGATTGTTCATCTGGTCTTGGTTCAATTTTGGTATATGGTACTTATCTAAAAAAATCTCCATTTCTTTTACATTTTCCAACTTTGTGGCATATAAACTTTCGTAGTAAGATCTAATGATTCTCTGAATTTCCTCTGTGTCTGTGGTTATGTCCCCCTTTTCGTTTCTGATCTTATTAATTTGCAAGTTCTCTCTCTGCCGTTTGATTAGTTTGGGTAGGGGTTTGTCAATCTTGTTGATTTTCTCCAAGAACCAGCTTTTTGCTTCATTGATTCTTTGGATTGTTTTCTGTGTTTCTATTTTGTTGATTTCAGCCCTCATTTTGATTATTTCCAGTCTTCTACTCCTCCTGGGTAAATCAGCTTCTTTTTTTTCTAGAGCTTTCAAGTGTGCTGTTAAGTCTCCAATGTGTGCTTTCTCCGTTTTCTTTAAGTGGGCAATTAGTGCTATGAACTTTCCTCTTAGCACTGCTTTCATAGTGTTCCATAGGTTTGAATACATTGTGTCTTTATTTTCATTAAATTCAAGGAAGACTTTAATTTCTTTCTTTATTTCTTCCTTGATCCAGGGGTGATTTAGCAGTTGACTGTTCAACTTCCATGAGTTTGTTGGTTTCCTGGGGGTACCATTGTTGTTGAATTCTAATTTTAATCCATGGGGATCTGACAAGACACAGGTGGTTACTAATATTTTTTTGTATCTGTGGAAGTTTGCTTTGTTACCAAGTATGTGGTCAATTTCGAGAAGGTTCCATGAGCTGCAGAGAAGAAGCTATATTCTTTCCTATTTGGGTCGAGTGTTCTATAGATGTCTGTTAAGTCCATTTGATTCAGTACCTCCAATAAATCTCTTATTTCTCTGTTTGGTTTCTGTCTGA